CCTTTTCCACAAATTGATTCCTTTGAGCCCAGCCTCTGAGAATCCGCCAAAATCCCCCAGCCAGGGTGAAGCCAAGATTTGTTCTCTCACTCCATCCCTGTGTTGCTGTCTGATCACAACAGCAGCTGATTCTCATATGATAGACTTCAAATCCTCTCCCCCAAATAAGCCTCTGTGTGGCAACCGAGAGAACTCAAAATTTACGAACTCCACATTTCTCATTCAAACATCCTTGGTTTATAAATCTGCCTTGGCTTCCCCATTCTATTACACGCCTCTGCTCAGGCACGTAATGGAACTTATCAAAAACCTGAAAAACTCTGGCTTCAGATCAATATAATAGTTCCCTAAGTTTCCCTCTGCTGAACTGGAAGCTGCCCCTCTTTCCAAAGCCAAGTACATTGGCTTATCATTATTTGCCACCAAAAATCTCACACACTGTGTGTTCTCTGCCCAAACTCATGTTCCAGTTCTTTGCTCTCAAGGCCAGCCTGCCCCACGTCTGAGAAAACGAGCGTTAACCTGCATCAGCCCAATCTCTGTCCAGGCAGTTTCAAATCTCTCCAGACCTGGGTTTCCACTACTGTGCTTGCCCCTGACATTGTCTTTACTCAACAGCACAGCTTGTTTTTCTCCTTCCAGTATCTGCTTCCAGTATCTGACTCAGGGTCCTAATTCTTTCTGAAACCGACACCAGAAGCAAGGGATGAAAAGCAGCCAGCAGAAAGCCTTTGACAGGCTCCTGTAAAGAGCTCTGTCAGCTCCTTCTACATGTCCCCCAGCCTCTTGTACATTTCCTTCCGGCCCACAAGTCGCCCCACAAGCGTTTGCTTAGTGCCTGCCTCATGCAAGACATTTTCCTCCATTCCCCAATTTGGAGCACACCACCAAACGGGAGAATTGATTCTGTAAGAAGACTGACAGCAGCCAAAGGAAAATGCAAAGCCTGGAGGATCCTCTCCAAATGAGAGACTCCAGCTCCACTAGTTGAAGATGGTGAGAATTAGAATTACACCTTGAGGGGTAGGTAGATTTCAGGTATGAGAGAGGGAGTGGAAAAAAATCTCTTGATAAGGGATGGCAAAGACACAAACATCTTTGGGGGCCGTAAGATCATAACTCAGCATAGAGCCACCAGAACAGACTTGTGGGGGGTACAGGAGTTAGAGGAGAGGCCTGTGGAGTGAGAAGACCTAGACAGGCTGAGGAAGCTTTTGCGTGCTATGCTAGAAAGGCATCTTACAGACACTGCCATCCCTGTTGAAGCTCATCTCTCGCCAGCAAAATGTAGGGCCTCCCACTGACAGCCATGGCTCTGGCAATTCCTCTACCTGAGAAGGTCCAGCTGGGTCAGGTGATCCTGCACCAGCAGCCCTAGCCCCTATTGTCCCACTTCTTCGGGGAGAGCCTTGTGATTACCCCAGCCCACATTGACTCCACAAGCTCCTCTGGAAAGAGCACTACCCTGGGATTTGGGAGACCTGACCCAGCACTGTGACTCACTCGATGGCAAGCCACGCGGCCTCATGAGCCTCCATGTCTGCGTGCAGACAATGACAGTGAGGGGTTTGGAGAAGATGTACTGAGTCCTTTCCAGCTCTTGGATGTTATTTTGCAGTCATCCTTCTATAGCCCCACCTTCCTTCCTCCATTGTTCTACGGGTCTCATGGGAGATCTAATTTTTCAGTTTCTGGTGTATTGTGATACTATGAAATATTTAGTTGATCTTCATCCAGTTTCCTGACATACAATTCCTAAAATTCTGGAAATCTCCAAAGTGATGTACTTCTGATTGCTAATGATTGACTGGTGGCTGGCAGCCCCTAGGTACCTTCAGAATGGGGCTGGTCACTCAGACCTAGGCAGGATTAGAAGGTTGGGACTTTCAGCCCCACCCCATGACCTCTAGGGAAGGGAGAGGAGCCGAAGGTCAAGTTGATCACCAGTGGCCAATGATTTAGTCAGTCCGAGGCCTATGTAATGAAGCCTGCATAAAAACCCAACTGGGCTGGGTTTGGGGGCACCTGGAGAGTGGCTCCCAGGAAAGGCATGGGAGCTCTGTGCCCCTTCCCCATGCCTCACCCCATGCATCTCTTCATCTGCATCCTTTGTGATAGCCTTTACAGTACACTGGCAAATGTTAGTAAGTGTTTCCCTGAGTTCTGTGAGCCAGTCCAGCAAATTAAGCAGACCTAAGGAGGGGCTGAGGGAAGCCCAATGTGTAGCCAATGGGTCAGAAGCACAGGTAAACCAACCTGGGTTGGCACTGGAAATGGGAGGTGGCAAAACCCCACCCTTAAGCCTGGAACTTCAGCCATAAGTGAAACAGCTGTTTTTCCACCCAAATGTTGCTGCTTTGGCCTGCCATGCCCAAATCCTGTCCCAATAAAAAGACTTCAGCTGGTGGAGCAACACAAGTGACTGAGCAGCAGAGATGCAAGTGGCTGAGCGGCGAGCAGAGGTGTAACTGAGCGTCAGAGACTTTGGATAGACTTGGCTAACTTCAGATGGTGCGGCTTCAGGGAAGGATCACCTGCTTCCCACACTATCCCCTTTTCAACTCCCCATCCCACCAAGAGCCTCTTCTATCACCTAGTATCATCCTCTGCATACACTACCCTCCAATCTGTTTGTGTGACCTGATTCTGGATGCCAGACAAGAACCCAGATACTGAGAGAGCAGGGGCTTGGATACTGCTGTGGGACCTGAACAGAGTCTGCTCCAGCCAGAGTGGAGCAACCAGCTGGTTCCATCATTCCATTCACTCGGGTTCCCACACTTGCTTGCAGGCTCCCTCTCAAGAAAAGGGGCCACTGGCAGGCTGAGTGAAACAAGCCACTCCAGTTCCCTCCCATCAAGAGGGTCAAGGTCAAGGGAATTATCCCATCTCAGATGGTGCCGGAATTGAAATGAACTGGAGGACACCAGCTGGTGTCCCTGCTGGAGGATGGCTTGCTTGTCGATGGGGAGAAACCCCCACACATCTGGAGTCGGAAGTGCTGTGAGACTGTTGGGGAGTGCAGCAGAAAGAAGCCAGGTTTGTTACTCCCATATTATCACCTTTTTCTCCAGCCCTCTTCTCTTTTCTGCCTGCTGTTTCCTGGCAGTCATCTCTTACAAAATTAGCATTTTAAATACAAAAATAGCAATATTTATTATAGAAAATTTGGAAAATAGAGGAAGCACAGAGTCAATAAGTAACTCACCTGTATTCCAATCATTCAAGAGAACCACCACTAACAATTTGGCCTATGTCTTTTTGGTCTTTCTATACATAAATCAGTCATCCCTCTGTATCCATGGAAGAACTGGTTCCAGGACACCTGTGAATACCAAAATGTGTCATTCTTCAAGTCCCTTATATAAAACGGTGTTGTATTTGCATAAAACCTACATACATCTTCCCGTATACTTTAAATCATCTCTAAATTACTTATAATATATAATATAATGTAAATTTTATGTAAATAGTTGTTACACTGTATTCTTAATTTGCATTATTTTTTTTCCAAATACAGACAAATACCACATCATGACATTTTAGTCGGTGACAAACTACATATGGAATGGTAGTTCCACATGATTATAACGGAGCTGAATAATTCCTGTCTCCTAGTGATATTTAGCCATTGTAACATCGTGGCACAATGCATTACTCATGGGCTTGTGGTAGTTCTGGAGGCATTTCAGAAGAAGGCATTGTTATCATAGGAGATAACAGCTCAGTGCATGTTACTGCCCCTGAAGACCTTCCAGTGGGACAAGACGTGGAAGCTGAAGACAGTGATATTGATGCTCCTGACCCTATGTAGGCCTAGGCTTGTGTGTATATTTGCATCTGTATTCATTTGTTCTCACACTGCTAATAAAGACATACCCAGGACTGGGTGATTTATCAAGGAAAGAGGTTTAATTGACTCACGGTTCCATGTTGCTGGGAAGCCTACACGATCATGGCAGAAAGCAAAGGAGGAGCAAGACACGTCCTACATGGCAGCAGGCAAGAAAGCTTGTTCAGGGGAACTCCCATTTATAAAACCATCAGATCTTGTGAGACTTATTCGCTACCATGAGAACGGTATATGGGAACTGCATCCATGATTCAATTATCTCCACTTGGCCCCACCCTTGATACATGGGGATGATTACAATTCAAGATTATTACCATTACAATTCAAGAGGATTACTACAATTCAGTTCATGGGGATTACTGCAGTTGGGTGAGGACACTGCCAAACCATATCAGCATCTTAGTTTTTAAATAAAAAGGTTTAAGAAGAAAATAAATAATTTTTAAATAGAAAAAGGTTAGAGAATAAGATATAAAGAAAGAAAATATTTTTGTACAGTTGTACAATGTGTTTGTGTTTTAAGCTAAGTGATATTACAAAAGAGTCAAAAAGTTTTTAAGCATTTCAAGTTTATAAAGTAAAAAGTAACAATGAGCTAAACTTAATTTTTTACTGGAGAAAGAAAAACATTTTTTATAAACATAATGTAGCCTAAGTGTGCAGTGTTTATACCATTCACAGTAGTTCTAGGCCTTCACGGTCACTCACCACTCACTCCCTTCATGGTAAGTGCACCATTTTTACATACAGGTGCACAACTTTTAATCTTTTATACCATATTTTCACTGTACCTTTCTGATATTTTGATGCACAAATACTCACCATTGTGTTGCAGTTGCCCACAGTATTGAGAACAGTAACACGCCATAGAGGTTTGTAGCCTAGGAGCAGTAGGGATAGCCTAGGTGGGCAGTTGGTTATAGTGTCTAGGTTTGTGTGAGTACACTCTATGTTTGGACAACAACAAAATCACCCAACAACACAATTCTCGGAATATATCCCCATTGTTAAGCAATGCATGAGTCTATCTTTAATCTTTGAAGCATCGAACCCACCAATGAGGAACCCGTGGTTAGGGAGGGCTGACTGTGCAAATGTATTGTCTTAGTCCATTTTCTGTAGCTGTAAATGAATACCTGAGACTGGCTTTCGTTTATAAAGAAAAGAAATTTATTTCTCAAGTTCTGGAGTCCGGGAAGTCTAACATGAAGGTGCTGGCATCTTGTGAGTGCCTCCTTCCTGCCTCACAGCACGGCGAGAGGGCAAGGGCATGACAACTCAGGTCTCTCTTTCTCCTCTTATTAACCCACCAGTTCGTTCCATCGTGGGGCCCCTTGACCCATTAGATAAGATGACTTTATCTAGTCCTAGTTATCTCCCAAAGGCCCCACCTGCAAATATCGTCTACATGTGAATTCAGGGATCAAGTCTCAAAAACATGAAATCTGGGGAAACACACAAGCCATAGCGCATATCACATGCTTTTAGTTTTAACTAAGCTTGTACCATACAGCACGTACAGCTTTTTTTCCCACAAAAAAATGTTGTATTGTTGAGAGTTCCACCTCCAGTATGTACTTGCTAGGTTGGTGCTGAACTTGACTCCCTGGAGAACTAAAAAAAACTGGACAACATACAACAATATTTGTTTGAAGTCAACTGAAAGACGATCAAGACAATGAAATGTGGTAGTGCTACAATCTGAAAGCGGAAGGAAATCAAGAGAAATGAACCCAGGCAGCCGTCATGGCAGCCAAGGAGAAGGACCCTCTGAGCTATTTCGCGGTGTCCGGGAGCAGCAGCTCAGGCTCCTCGGACAAGGAGGATAACATCAAGCCGGAGGAGACAAGTTGCAGAACCTCGGATCCGGCGAAGTCGGCGGGCGGATGTAGGAACAAGGTGGAGAAGCGGCTCCTGGGACCCGATGAGCTGTTTAGGAGCGTGACTCGCCTGGCCTTTCTCTACAATCCGAGCCATCAAAAACGATGAGTTCGTGTCCTTTGTAGGGACATGGATGAACCTGGAGAACATCATTCTCAGTAAACTGACACAAGAACAGAAAATGAAATACCTCATGTTCTCACTCATAGGTGGGTGTTGAACAATGAGAACACATGGACACAGGGAGGGGAGCACTACACACTGGCATCTGTTGGGAGGAATAGGGGAGGGACAGCGGGGGGTGGGAGTTGGGGAGAGATAGCATGGGGAGAAATGCCAGATGTGGGTGAAGGGGAGGAAGACAGCAAATCACACTGCCACGTGTGTACCTATGCAACTATCTTGCATGTTCTTCACATGTACCCCAAAACCTAAAATGCAATTAAAAAAATATATATATATCAAAAAAAAAAAAAAAGAGAGAGGCACGTCGTCAAGGCACCTGAGGAGCTTCTCCCTGAGACCCCTTCCCTTTGACGCCGAAGTGCCTGCGGTGCTGCCTCCAAGACAGTGTCTGCTGCAGCCTCCCGAAGGGGTCAGCCTTGGCATACTATCTCTGAGACTGGATTCTTCTTTGCCTCCAAAGGAATTCAAAATATGGAAGTCAAATTGTGTACCACCTCCTGAGACCTACACCACTGAGAAGAAGCCTCCGCCTCCGGAGCTTGACGTGGCAATAAAATGGTCTAACATATATGAGGACAATTCTGGTGAGGCCCTACAGAATGCTAAGAAAGCTAGGCTTCTACCAGAAGGAGAGGAGACATTGGAATCAGATGACGAAAAAGATGAGCGTACTTCTAAAAAGCACAAAGCAGATCCGGGAGAACCAGCAAAGAAGAAAAAGTAGAAAACAAAGGACCAGAATTTCTGGACTGCTAAACTTATTGAAATGTTTCTTTGGGCAGATTAAGCTGGTATTGTGGGTTATTATCACATGTTTCCATGAAAGTACATATGTTAATGAACTAATAAGTATTGCCTCAAGAACGCTCCACTGTAGAATTCATTTTATATTTAAAACATATATGTATTTAGGGGCCGGGCGCGGGGGCTCAAGCCTGTAATCCCAGCACTTTGGGAGGCCGAGGCGGGTGGATCACGAGGTCAAGAGATCGAGACCATCCTGGTCAACATGGTGAAACCCCGTCTCTGCTAAAAATATAAAAAAAAATTAGCTGGGCATGAGGAGCATGCCTGTAATCCCAGCTACTCAGGAGGCTGAGGCAGGAGAATTGCCTGAACCCAGGAGGTGGAGGCTGGGGTGAGCCGAGATCACGCCGTTGCACTCCAGCCTGGGTAAGAAGAGCGAAACTGCGTCTCAAAAATAAATAAATAAAATAAATAAAACATATATGTATTTAAAACTCAACGGGTGACTTGTGATTGTGAAATTGATACTTGGATGCATTCTTACTCTCACAGAATTGGTGACATGCTTTGAGAGTTTTGTCACATGTTGACATGCCAATATTCTATAAACCTTTTATAAAGGAATATATTTTTAAGGTAAATATATTGTAATATACTGTGAACTTGTAGTGTGCTTTTCAACAATCTTTGTAAAGTGTAAATAGATCGTGGAAATAAAATTACTTAATATTACTATTACTGCATAACATTAACATTTGAATGTTTGTCTGTGACAAGTACCCTATTTGCTGTGTGACATTTTAAGTTGTAATAAGAGGTATTAGCATTTAAAGAGTGCCTCCTGTGTTCCAGGTGCTTTGTGAATATGTTTTCTCTGATCGTTACAACAATCTAGCAAGATATTATTAGTATTCTCATTTTATAATAAAGAATGCTTAAGTAGCTTGTCTAATGTTAGAAAAAAAAGAAAAGAAACAAACCCAGAAGTTGAGGCCTCTCCACCCCTCAAAGAAACAGGTGGACTCCATAAGCAAGAAGAGTGACTGAGGATCAGGAGCTGAGCAGTGAATGAGCTTTTACTGGCCTTGTCAAGCTACTGTAGCCAAAATGGAGGGCAGGCTCTGTCAGGGAGGAGGGAGCCCCAAACACCCCAGGCATCCAGCTGGGACCCCAAAGGGCTATGCTCTAGTCACAAGAGTAAACCAGCCCTCCAAAGACTAAAGCCAAGCCTCAAAGCATGCCAATTCCTGGCTGAATTAAGGTGGCCTGCCCTCAGACTAGCTAACAGTCAGAAATAAGCCTATGTACGTTCTGGAGGAAAATCACATTACCTAGAACCTCAAATTACCCCCATAGTTTTCAAATACAATGTTTAGAACTCAAAAATGTGAAATGGAGAAACCTAGAGGGCTTTTGCTACCAGCATTGCTATTGCAGACCAACGCCCCAAGAAAAGTAATTGCACATCAGAGACCAGGCATACGAGAGGCATCAGAGATCCTGGGAGCCCGTAGGACCCATACAGGATTTCATTCTGGGGAGGGAAGACTGCAGACAGGAAGCTGAGAAGGCTTTAGTCAGGCAGCGGGTCACTGCCAGGGGACCGAAAAACCATCAGAGCTTCAGAAATCTCATGAGGTGGCCAGGCATGGTGGCTCACACCTGTAATCCCAACACTTTGGGAGGCCGAAGAGGGCAGATCACAAGGTCAGGAGTTAGAGACCTGCCTGGCCAATATGGTGAAACCCCATCTCTACTAAAACTACAAAATTTAGCCAGCTGTGGTGGTGGGTGCCTGTAGTCCCAGCTACTTGGGAGGCTGAGGCAGAAGAATTGCTTGCATCTGGGAGATGGAGGTTGCAGTGAGCGGAGATAGCACCACTGCACTCTAGACTGGGCAACACAGTAAGACTCCGTCTCAAAACAAACAAACAAAAAACAAAAAAAAGAAATCTCATGAGGTATAAGTGATAAAAATTGGAGACTTGAGGAGCCTAAAAAACATGGATTGTCTCTGCCTCAGTAAGTTTGCCAAATTCTGTAACTGCACAGGGTAGATGTCGCAAATTTCAAGCCAAAAATTTTGGGCAACTTTATGGTGCTGAGGAGACAGATTCAAATTTAGGACCCTCCAGAATAAAAGGGTCTCTGTGAACATTCCAGAAATTCATCTGGAAAACTTGAAGCTCTATGCTACAGGATCAGGAGGTGGCCACATGTGACAGGCTGCCAGAGAGCGAGAGCCACTCCATCCACCCCTCCCAGTTGCTGCTACACCCTGCCTCTGTCTACCTGAGCTGAAGCGGCATCCCATCTCCGGGAAAATCAAGAAACAATGACTTGGCTACCCAGAGTAATCACACCCCCTGGTGCTGAAGCTGATGTGGCACTGTGTCTCCCAGGAAATCCCTGCCTTAACCTCCCAGGGCAGTCACGGCCCTAGCACCTGAGCTGATATTTCCAACCTTTCAGGGAATAACGGCCTTCGATGAGCTGAGCAGCTGCATCTCCCAGGGTTGGGCTGATGTGGCATCCCACATTGCATTGACTGAGATGGGACACCCCACCCCCACATGCTAAATAAGTGGGAAACCCTGCCTCCCTGGAACTAGACTAGCCCCCCAGATTCTGAGCTGCTGAGGCACCCCACCTTAATAGAGTTATTGCTGTGCTGCTCCATGCTCCCTGGGATCCAAGCCACAACTGAACTTCACCATTACTGGGTCCTTGCTGTCTTGCGGAGCCCCACATGCTGCCAGGGCCCACCATGCCAAGGTCTAGAGTCACCACTACGGGTTTCTTATTCCCCAGGGTCTGAGTTGCTGCTGTGAACTATTGTCTCCAGTTCCTGAATTACAGCTTTGTTCTGCTCACTGGACCTGAACCTCCACGACACCCCTTCTTCCCTGAAGCTGGGCCAGTGCTGTGCCCTTCACCCCCAAGTCAGAGTCATAGTTAAAATCCAGCTGGGCCTGAGCTGCTGGGCTATGTCTCAGACTCACAGACACCAGCTTTGTGGGCCAACTGCATTCACCCTTGCCTCACAGAGTGAACCTTCACCCCAAGTCCCAGGTGCCACAGTAGGTTTGTGAGAGCCTGTGCCCAGGACTTAGGCTCCACAGCCACTCTGAGCACCTATACCCTAGAACCCAGAACCACTGCAGCTGCTCATGGGCCATGTCTAACCCAACACCAAGAAGGATACCCTCATCTAAGACTCACCCTTGTCGATAAAATGAGATCAGGAGAACCCCAAAAGTTCTTGCTGCTAAGAACAGCATACCCTGCTGCCACAAACTTCTGCAGCCTCAGCTACTGAGGCACTCACGATCATCCCTGACATTGACTACAGCTGAGGAAGCTGCAGGGGGCTATACTAATTCAAACCAGAGCCACCACACCCTGCATAAATAAAGAGAAGCCAAATGTGAATCAACAAGACAATGAGGAAAATGTCTCCAGGGCTTGTTAGAGACCTTCACAGCAGCCCTCCTATCACAGGCCCAGAGGCCAAAAGGGGAAAAATGGCTTTGTGGGCCAGATTCAGAGCTCCCCTGGTGTGTGCAGCCCCAGAACTTTGTTCCCCGCATCCCAGCTGCTCCAGCCATGGCTAAAAGGGGCTTCAGAAGGCCCAAGCCTTGGCAACTTCCACATGGTGTTGGACCTGTGGGTGTGTGGAAGAATGACGGCTTGGGAACCTCTGCCTGGATTTCAGAGATGTATGGAAATGCCTGAATGTCCAGGCAGAAGTCTGCTGCTGGGGTGGAGCTCTCATGGAGAACCTCTGCAAGGGGCAGGGCAGAAGGAAAATGGGGGGTCAGAGCCCCCACATCAAGTCCCCATGACACGGTTTGGTCACTGCCTGGTGGAGCTATGAGAAGAGCGCCACCATCCTCCAGACCTCACAATGGTAGCTCCATCCACAGCTTACACAGTGTTCTTGGAAAAACCACAGACACTCAATGCCAGCCATTAAAGCAGCTGTACCCTGCAAAGCCCCCGGAATGGAGCTTCCCAAGGCTATGGGAGCCCACCTCTTGCATAGACATGACCTGGGTATCAGACATGACCTGGATATGAGACATGGAGTCACAGATCATTTTGGACCTTTACAGTTTGATGACTGCCCTACTGGATTTCAGACTTGCATGAGGCCTGTAACCCCTTTGTGGGCCAATTTCTTCTACTTGGAAAAGGTATATTTAC